CCTCCGAACCCACTCGTTATGATCCACCGCGTCGAAAGCCTTGCGTCGGTCCCCTGCGCCGAGGATAAGAGGCTCGACGAACTCGCTGGCCAATTCCACGAGCGGCCTCGTAGCCGACAATATCATGGACTTGGCGCCGTTTCCGATTAGCAAACTGATATGTCGAAAGTGGTTCTACGTAAAGCCTCGAGAGGTGCCCGAGAACCGTGGATTACAACTTGAACAAAACTGAAGGCAGGGCGATGAATATTAAATCTTTGACCTTTTCTGCAACCCAGAATTTGGCGAGTCGGATTACTTGGCGTCGGCCCCGAAGCGATTCAACTCCTTCCGCGGGGCGATTCAGCCGGCGCAGGGTATGCGCATCGGCTGGGGCGGCCAGGCAGTCGCCAGATAAAGCTTCGAGCATCTATACTATACCAACGTGTCATCCATTGCGCGCGTCTTGCCTGGCTTCATTGTCTGCAGCAGAGGACTAAGCAAATGCACGTCGATCGCGGGTAGCTGCGCGAGGCCACTCCTTGCCCACCTCTGATCCGACCAGCGCTGCACAGGCGCAGCCCTAGGATCGGCAAACAGAGCGGTGTGCAAATCGTGAACCACCTGTCGCATCTCGTCCTGACCCGTCGACGTCGCACCCACCGCGCTCTCCGGGGCCCTGCCTTTCCCCGCCGGCCCCCTGGTAGCAATCGAGCCCGATTTGGGTCCCAGTACCTTCATGAGTTTCAGTTCCTGGTGCAGGCGCGCGAGAACGCGTCGCCCACGCGAGCGCGCCTGTCCTGTCTGGCGTCGCAAACCAGGGTCGAATTCGACAGCTCTCATTCTCCAGAGCCCTTGAACCAACCGGATCTGGGGGCGGTCCCAAGGGAGCTAGGGGAACTTAGTTTTTGGCGTGGCCCCGCGCCGATCAGCCGCAGTCGCCGCGGCCTGCGCGAAAAAAGATAAGGCTGGTAGGTTGTTGCCGCCGCGACCGCCCCTCCTCGCCAGTGTCCGCGCGCGCTCGGGGCTCTCTTCCACTGTGGGATCCACTCGACGCTCGGATCGAGCCCTGCGAGAACGCGACAAGCATTCAAGCAGCGCGCAAGCATGTCGAGCAGAAGTGTAAGAGGAGGGCGAGAATAAAGGGAAAATGCTGAGATTCTTCGATAGGGATGTCCCCGGAGTGTAAACGAGGGGGCCGATGTTTGCACCGCGCGTGCTAGCTGCGGGCGCTCGAGGCGTCGCCGACCTTGGCGAGACGATCGGCGACGTTGTTTCCCGGCGCCCCTGCGTGGCCTTTTCACCCGGGGGGCCGCGACAGAGTGCGCTCGATTCACGCGTGACCAGAGCAGAGCAAGGATAATGGACATGAGAACGCCATGGGCGGGAGAGACCTTAGATTCGAGGAGACCGAGCACGTGTGCGGAGTTAACGGGCAACCGTCGCGCCACGCGTCGCAATCGCAGGGTGAGTACCACTTGCTTGATCATGTGGCCAGAGACATAGTTCGACACCGCCAGCCAGTTCGGCCGCCGCATTGTTAGTCTGTCGCATTGCGCAAATAGACCTCGGGTCGGTGATGTCCAGGACCACGGCGCCACAAGCCTGAAAGCGCGGGGAAACCCGCTCGGCTCGGGGGGCTGGGGGGGGGGGGGGGGGGCAAAGAAAATGCGCGCCCCCCAGCCGCGCTGCGCGGCTCGACCCTTCTCTCGCGCGAAAGCGCCAACCGGATAAGATTGCGAAATCGCCGCGGGCGCCGCGGCCCTGGACATCTACGCCCGGATCTTCGTCGCGCTGCCTTCCCGTGGAACGGCCCTCGAGGGTCCATTGCAGGAGTTTCGTCACAAAAAAGCAGGCGCAGCAGGCTGACGCGCGAATGTAAGCTTCGGGGCCCCGAAAGCCCTACAGTGCAGCGGCAGGCGATCGCTCTCGCTAGTTCCTGGTGCCGACAGAATGCGCAGACTGGGGGATACTTGCATGCGCTAGCACGAGTTCCCGGTTGGGCTCTAGATTGCAATTGTAGAAACCGGCGCGCAGGCCCTTCAGTCTCTTCTCCCGCGCGCCAGCAGCCGCGAGCTCATTCGCAAACGGAAGCTCTCGAGCAAGGTTGCCCTTCTATCCGGCGGCCCCCGTCGTGAACGGGCAGGCGAACCGAGGCGCGTGCTCTGACCTCCGCGCCGATTCTATTAAATCCTGAGAGATAATCGCCCCGTGGCCCCCGAGCGCACGGTCGACCAGGCCCCGCGCGTCACCTATGCCTCGCAAGAAATTGGCACGCGAATCAGTGGCTCCAAGTGGCTGCGCATGAGCCAGATGGGGCCGAAAATGGAGGGGGGAGAAGAGACGGCCTAAGCGGCTGGAGCAGAAGATGTTCGACTACCCGAGCAAGCCTTGAAGCCGCGGCGCACAGCGATCGCTGGTCTCCGCGCGCGCCCCCGTGTAGGAGGTTCACAGTGGACAGCGCGGCCAGATGCGTCAGCAACGACATCTAGTCGTACATTTGTATACTCCTGAATACACAAACGGTCAAACTGAACTCTTCTTCAAGCTGATCGAAACACCTTGCAGCTCCACGACTCGGAAGGCCTTGTGCGTTCAAACCCACAATCGCGAAGCCCGCTCTGGAATCGCATCTCCCCCTAGGCTCTCTCGAAGCTTGCGCTCGCGCATGTCAGCGGGCCCCGGGCGGGTCGTTGATTTCGGGGATGTACCCGTTCAGCGTGAGATCAAGCAGGGTTCATGGCGGCGAGGGCCTGCTGAGCGTTGGGAGCAGCCAGCGCACTGCAAGCCGGGAAGGCGCGCATGTGGAGCCTGAGAGGGGCGTCACAGGCGCCCTTCGGGATATCCTTGCGGAACAGAACCGCGCTGCCCATGTCTTGCGAGGTGTCCACGCAGTGCTCGAGCTGCTCAGGGGTGAGCTGCCCGGGTGCTCAGAGCATCTATCACGAAACCACGAGCGAAGTTGGGGTTGGCCGAGCACGCAATCTCATCATGGTACTTGTCGGCAGTGCGCCACAAATCACGAGTGTTGTGTGCTCCCGAAGCATGGGTTGGGCGATCACTGGAAGCGAGACGACTGGGCATCGTGCGGCCCTTCATGTCCTTCGGAGGATACCACATGTGATTGCTAGAAGAGGAACCGAAGCTTGCAGCGCTATGAGTAACCGCCCACCGCGTAGACCTCGGATCTATTCAAGATCGGAACGGTGAGCCCGGGGGCCGCGAGGTTGGCGGTGAGATCCGGCTGCAACTCTGCGCGTTCTGCCTGCGCAAAGCCTCCGACACACATTGCCTTTTGTTTGGTGGCAGGGAGTCTGACACGCGCCCCCCGCCGAGGGCGCACCCCCTGCGGAGCCCGTGCCCGCAGCTGGTCGCCCTTGCTCGAGCACGTTCAGCCTGCCGCGGAAAACGGCCATCTCCTCAACAGTTTCTTCAGCTCGGACTCGGTGCGGTCGGCCTTCAGGGAAACCTGGTCTACTTTACCGCCCAAGCGGCCGACATGACTCCCCAGGGTCCGTTCCATGTTGAACGTCATGGCGT